AGCAGAAACAGAAGCGCTGTCTGGGGGAAGCAGAAACAGAAGCGCTGTCTGGGGGAAGCAGAAACAGAAGCGCTGTCTCGGGGAAGCAGAAACAGAAGTGCTGTCTCGGGGAAGCAGAAACAGAAGCGCTGTCTGGGGGAAGCAGAAACAGAAGCGCTGTCTGGGGGAAGCAGAAACAGAAGCGCTGTCTCGGGGAAGCAGAAACAAGCGCTGTCTCGGGGAAGCAGAAACAGAGGCGCTGTCTCGGGGAAGCAGAAACAGAGGCGCTGTCTCGGGGAAGCAGAAACAGAGGCGCTGTCTCGGGGAAGCAGAAACAGAGGCTCTGTCTCGGGGAAGCAGAAACAGAGGCGCTGTCTCGGGGAAGCAGAAACAGAGGCGCTGTCTGGGGGAAGCAGGCCCCTTCACTAGCATCTCAGAGGAGCTGGCTCAGCCCCCACGCCTGCTGGACAGGAGAAACAGACTTGCTATGCAGCCATGGCGGCCCTCCCACAACGCCTGTGACTCCAGCTTCAACATGGAGCCGGGGTCCTTGATACACACTTGCTGCAATACCAGCATGGGGGTGAGTTCTGGGGTTTCCTTTCCTTTTATAAACCCTTCCCTTCAAATTTTAAATATGTTTCTATGTTTATTGGTTCACTTTTCTTGTTATGTTTACAAACTTGCTATTACATTTATTTAGGGGTGGGGCATGTGTGTATGAGCCACAGGTCACGTGTGGAGGAGCCCCAGGGATTAAAACTCAGGTCACCCGGCTTGGCAGCAAGCACCTGTACCTGCCGAGCCATCTTCCCGCCCATGTGATTTGGTTTTATTGAGAACCTGCCTCAGAGAAGGAGCTGTAAGAGCACTAGCAGCCTTGTGCTTCCATGCACGCGCAAGAGTGCGCACACACACGTACTAAAGCATACACATATACATGCATGCGACACACATCCAAGACAGACAAGACACAAGAATGCCAGGGAATGTCATTCTAGGTGTTAGTGTTCAGGCATTGTACTGGCCTGTCCTTGGGGTTCTGACAGGACACGCCCTCAGCTGCAGCCACTAAGAGCACCACCTGTGCACATTCACTATGTTCCCTTTTAAAAGGCCCTGCCCACCTCCTCCTTCACCCTCCTCTTCTCCTGCTCCTGTCCCCAGAAGCCAGTCTCCCCTCTGCCCTCCCCGCTTTTCCCATTTACTTTCCCCCAATAAAAACCCTCCGCCCAAGCTGCCCCATGGCAACTTTCTCTTGCATGCTGCTTTTTAAAATTACAACACTAGAGACATGAATACTCAAAATAATCACTACTAGGGAAATGACAGCAAACACATACCAAGGAAAGAAGGGTTTATGTTTAATTGCTTGTTTTGTGTAAGTATGCATGCTCATATATGCATAGGTGCAGGTATGTGTAGATGCCGGAGGTCAAGCTTGAGTCAGGAACCATGCACCTTGCTTTTTAAACAGGGTCTCTCCTTGGTCTGGGTCTTAGGTATGCTCCTCTGGCTGGCTGGTGAGCCACAAGATCCAACTGTCTTCAACGTCCCAACACCAGAATCACAAGCTCCTGCCAAACCTGACTTTTTAAATGGGATCTGGGCTCTAGAAATCAAACTTGGGCCCTCGTGCCTGTACAGCAACCTCTTCACCAAGGAGACCATCCTCCCTACGTCTGGTCTGTTTGGTTTTTAAATCTGCAGTGCTGACAAGAGACCTCGGGACCTTTGTGTATGCTAGGGAAGCTCTCTTAACGCCCAGCTACTCCCCACCTGCAAGTTTTAAGTAATGGGATCACACTTTTATTTTGTAACTTTTTTAGGTCAGGTATGGTGGCATATGCCTTTAATCCCAGCACTCAGAGAGGTAGAGGCAGAGGGATCTGAGTCTGAAGCCAGTCTGGTCTACACAGCAAGTTACAGGCCAGCCATGGCTACACAGCATGACTCAGATGGGGGAGCGGTTCTTCTGGGAGTCGGTTCTCTCCCCCGTGCGTTCTGAGGATCAAACCTAAGTCATCAGGCTTTGGGGTCAATGCCTGAGTCATTTCACTGGCCCAAACCATATCATTTTTAAGACAGCAAAGAAGGGAAGGTGCCAGGGACTAATTATGGTCCCTCACGCATGCCCTCTTCCGTTTTTTCAGTGAATCTGCAAGCATGCTTCTGGCATAGGGGACACTGAGCAAAACATGTGCCGTTTTGGGAAAGCAGACTGTGTCTCTTTCATGTGAGGTTCACCTTGACTGTCAACTGGACAGGATTCAGAACCACAAAGCAGATGACATTTGGATGTGTCCTTGACAGTGTTTCCTGAGACTTTTAGCCCAAGAGGGAAGCCCCGCCCTGAAGATGAATGGTAAGATCTCGGTCAGGGACCCAGGACAAATGCAAAGGAGAAAAGAAGTGAACAGAGCCCCCACCTCTTCCCAGCCATGACGTCCCGTATGTCTTCTTAAACTCTGAGTCAGGCGGCTCAGCAGGTGAAGGCACCTGCCACCAGGCCCCATAACCTGAATCCAACCCCTGGGACTCACATGCAGGATGAAGAGAACTGACTTCCACAACTGTTCTTAGAGGACAGCCATGTGTGCGGGCGCACGCACGCACATGCATGCATACACACACACCCTGCCATGCCAAATAAATCAATGCAAAATAAACTCTTCTCTGGGGTTGTCAGAAAAGAAAAGTAACTAATAGGGAACTCTGGCAGGTGGAGGGGGTGCTGTGATAAATATGTTCTGGTAAGGACATCTTTGGAAGCGTTTGGGGGGGTGTGGAAGAGGTAAGGGTTGTGGGCTCAGGAAGGCAGGATATTTAGTGGGTCATTGTGGTGGGAGTCTGGAAGGCGAGAATGGCAAGAAAAATGAGGACAATGGAGACCCAACTCATGAGATTTTAGAAGGGGAGTCTGCTGGAAACTGGCCAGATATCATCCATGTTACATTCTGGCAAAGAATGGAGCCACACTTTGCCCTTGTCTTGGTAACTTTTGAACATTATTTTGTGTTACATTCTAGTGTTTTGCCTGCCTGTATGTCTAAGCACCACCTATGTACCTGGTGCTGCAGAAGCTACAAGACAGAGTGGGGTCCCTGCAAGTGCAGTTACAGATGGTTGGGAGCTACCACGTGGGTGCTGGGAATCAAACTCAGGTCCTCTGGAAAAGCAGGCAGTGCTCTTAACTGCTGAGCCATCTCTCCAGCCCCTGTCCTGGTAACTTGGGTGAGGCTAAATTTAAAAATAATGCAAGAAGCTGTCTGGGAGAGAAAACTTGAGGACAGTATGGCATCCATGCTGTGCACTGCTACTGTCTGCTCTTGTTAGTCGCCTGTATGACAGAGAGCACAAGGTCTGAAAAATGTGTGATTGGTGAGGAAAGGCACCTTTGTGAGATTCAAGCTGCATATCCAGCAGATGCAGCAAGAGCAGCAGCTGTCAGTGTTAGAAAGACTACAGCCACTGCAGGGAAACTTGTGTTCTTTACTGGGACAGTAAGAAGATAACCTGAAGTCACGACCCCCGCCACTGAAGGCTCCAATTTCTGAATGTCCAATTGCATTTGAGAGAGCCTGAACTGAGACATCCACTGAAGGGTTCCCTGTTCAAAATCAACCATGGAGGGAAGTGTTTTCCTAGGTTCTACCAACAAAACACACAAAAGCAGCAGCAGCTGCGGCAGAAGTGTTGGTGGCGCACGCCTTTAATCCCAGCTCTTGGGAGGCAGAGGCGGCAGATCTCTGTGAGTTCGAGACCAGCCTGGTCTACAGAGTGAATTCCAGAACAGCCAGGGCCACACAGAGAAACCTTGTCTTGAAAAACCAAAAAGAACAACAACAACAACAAAAGAGGACAGAAGACACCCTGAGTTACAGCAGGACCTGACAATGCGGCTCATCTGCATGGTACTGTGTTTTCAGGCACACAAAAATGTAAGGGTTACTGGGTCATGCAGGCTCCTGACAGCACAGTGGAAGGAGAGAACCAACTCCCATAAGGTGTCCTCTGACCTCCACACATGAATTCCGGTGCACACACACTAACTAAATGAAAATAAATAAATAAATAAATAAATAAATAAATAAATAAATAAATAGCGATAATTCAGCAAGGACATGAAAATGCTTCAACCCACAGTCACTTCGAACTGTGTGGAGCATAGCAGTGTACTTTCTGGGGAGCACTAGCTATGATTTCTAGCAAGGTCCACCCACTAAAAGTTATGGGAAAGGTGCTGATATTATTTGCCAAAACCTGCTGTTGTATACTGACCTTTGTCGAAAAATCCTGAATTAAGTGCAGCATATACTGGTCTATGACGTACATATCTTCGACAGGAACAGAATCTGTCTTTGGGTTAAAACCAGCCACATTTCCCAAGAGAAAGCGGAGTGTGTTTCTAAGCTAGTCACAGTAAGAGAAAGAACAATTAAAGACAAGTCATGAGATTTTCAATTTACCAGTTACTTTACAACCGTTAATTTTTTTCTAAGTTCTGTTATTTTCTTTTAGTTTTTTAGACAGGGTTTCTCTGTGTAGCACTGGCAATCCTATCTGTAGACCTGGCTGGCCTAGAACTCACAGAGATCCCCCTGCCTGTGCCTCCCAAGTGCTGAGATTAAAGGTGTGGTTACCAACCCCCAGCTCAGGTTCTGTTATTAATAAGATTATTAAATCCTATTATTCCTAAATAAGATTGCAGAGGCACAACCTAACTCTCATTGTAAAACCCAGTTTTATAGAGAAACAACCACTGGATGAGTTTTTCCTTAACTCTCTTCTGGGCCAACCACCCTTCCCTAGCCAGCTTTGCTTTGCGCTTATTCACAAAAGGTTATGTGATGAACAGTCTGTACATTAATCAGATTTAAAGACGTATACCTTCCCTTAGTGTGACTATCTTTACACAAAGTAACAACACAGGGCATTTAAAACACGGTCACAAGTAGTTTGTTTGCATGTATGTCTCAAACTTTCAACAAGAAGGCCTGACCTTGCTGATGTCATCTCTAGCAGCACTGAGTGCAGAGGGGCCGATGGCTACTTCAGTGAAGACGTTGGACTCCGCTATCCACCAGCGCAGGGTGTCAGCTCCATAGGGAGGCTCTTTGCTCGGATCCTTTTCATTGAAAAACAACAGGTGAGATCCTCCCTCCTCATCCCGCTTCCTCTATTAGCAGAGGGACTCCGATACAGTGCTGGGCACCGCGGCAGTCTGAGTACAGTGACGAAACTAGCTGAGAAGCACTTGTGAGAATTTTTTCCCCTTGTAATTTTGATCTTTAAGAGGAGTTAGTAAAATAATATAAATTTAATTAGAAACAAAGGCTTCAGCTACAGATCCCCCTCAGAAACTGGACTGTAAATGCAGGCTGTTTGAACACGGAACCTAAACACAGGCACAGCCACCCCAAAGCAGGTTGTATCTGAAAAGGCGAGTGAGACAGTCCTGTCCAAGACACAGTCGGCACACCCCAGGCTTGTCCCAGCGCCCAGGACTTCTGCGTCAGGCACAAAGCAGCTGCAGGACGGCCCAGTGTGGGGAGTGCAGAGCTCTTTCCGTCTTCCTTATCCCCTAGCAGCCCAGTGACCACAGGAGAAAGGGCAAGGCAACCCACCCTGGACTCCTCTCCCGGTCTGACGGCCATTCTTACTTATCCTAAGAATGTAGTAATGTGCACTCAGAATTGGCACTCTTTTTCTCCCAAGTTTCCATTTCATTATAAAACTGTAGTTTCACAGAATAAAACCTGACACCTTAGGCCTCTAAACACATGCCCACACTCAAGTTTAAGTTTAAAACATTATAGTAAACCATCTGCCTTTCTTGGCCCAGATTTTCCCTGAATTCCTGAGCTCACACAACCCTCATGTCTCTGCCTCCCGAGTAGCTTGCCAGCATCCCTAGCATAGCCTGTGCCTACCAGAGAGTCTTGTGTTTGTTCACACCGAGGCAACTGCTGAAGACTTGGATTGCTATCTAAGAGCCTGACAACAAAACGAAAACAAGTTTCAGTCAGACACCTACTTTTCCTCCATTGATGACAGTGTCAGGATCAATGACATTCCCGAGGGACTTGGACATCTTTTCTCCTTTTTCTCCGAGTGTAAATCCATGAACCATCACTGTCCTAAGATAGATAAGTGACTTCAGTGAGAGGGATCATTTGGTCATCAGATTCATCTTGACAGACTATGGGTGGAGCTCGTTTCTCAGCATTCATGTATCAAGGTCATCAAGCAGGACGTCCTCCACTTAAACACAGCGAAATAGGTGTTCTATTTTCTGTGTATTAGAGCGTGGCCCAGTCTCTGATGAACACAGAGCAGGGCAGACCACCTCCGTAAAACTAGCTTCAAGACAACAACTTTAGAAAAACAGTGCTCCCCACTCTGATTTTGAAGAACACAGACATGGTCAGTGAGCTCACTGTCTGAGGGCAGGCGATGAGTGAGGCAGACCAAACTCTCAGGCTACTGTGTAACACTCTCCCTGAGTGAAGCCTGCTACGTGCGGCACACGGATGAGCAACTGTCCGCTCTCACCCCAGAGGGGTCCAGTCCTTAGTCACTGCGGATCCCACGGCAGGAGCTGAGCTCAGGCTCCCCTCAGCAACCCACACTGTCCTTCCCTCACTCGTGGTGATCTCTCCCCACTGGAGACGCTGCTCTACAGGCTGCCCAGCTACTCCACTCCAGAATCTTATCTCCCAGGAGGTGCAAGCTGCTGCACAGTGACAGACACCTCACACTGTCTCTCCCCCTTTCTTTTCTTCTTGTGTTGATTCTGTTGCTCTCCGCTGTTCTTTTCAGGACAGGGTCTGCATGCAGCCCAAGCTGACCACCTCAGATCCCCTCATCTCCACCTCCAGAGGGATTGGAGGAAACTGGAACTTTCTTACAAACTGTACCTATCACAACAGACTAACCCTATGTCCTCTTCTGGACAACAGTGCCTCAGCGAGTGCCCTGTCCCAGAGCCTGGAAGAGCAGTGCTGCGGCTTGCCGATGGCTGGCCTCTGCACATCTGCCCCAGCCGTGTGGCACACGCGGGCAGGCACTCGGGATTATCACAGCAGCTTCACTTTGCACAGAGCGAGCACTTACTTGAAAGGTGCTTTTGTCCTTGTGGCCGCCCTTGTTAATAAGGAAGACTGGAACCAGCCCCCGAGTTGGTCCTTCCCCTCCAGGTACAAGTCAGCCCTCTGCTCAGTGCCTGAAATGGATTAACACCAAGATGAAGCTAACAGAACAAGAATAAAACCAAGTGTGTGTTGGGGGCTTGAGGTAAGCAAACCGTGCTCTGCTGTGACCACACTCTGCCGCAGTGAAGCCCATCCACCACGTGTAGAGTGCACGGAAGTCATGTGACAGGCAGGTGTGAATGACAGTTTAATACACCCAAGGCCCAGCATGACTCTCGCCCTGACCGTCCCTGGCCACCAAAACCACATCCAGCATTAAGTGTTCTTAAGTGTTGTGACAGTGAGAGTCAGTAGCTCTGCTGCCGAGGACAGTGAATGAGTGCTGTCTGTTACCACTCTGCACGTGGCACGCTAGGTCCTGAGACTGAGGAGGCTGTCCCAGTGTGCCAGCAGGGCTGGAGAGATGGCTCAGCCATTAAAGGCGTGGCTCACTGCAAATGTGCCTGCAGAAAATGCACAAGTAGTGCCGCTCACCTACACGGCCTACAAAAGCACAGGGACAAAACACCTAAGCCTGCAATATGGCCTCAAGTGTGTCCAGGAAAACATAGTTAGGAAAAGTACCGAAAGCTAATATACAAAAATGTATTTAAATTAACATCTCGTTAGCCAGCATAATCTTAATGGATGCACATGAATTTATATGTATTTGGCTTTCCATCTGCTGACGCTGCGAAGTCCAGATGAAGAATTTACATTGATCTGCTAGGTCCCTAGAGCACACCCCCACAGTGAGGTCTCGGGTCACACTTACTCCATGTGAAACCTGAAGGTAATCCTTTAGTGTCCAGCTGCACAGAGCAGCTGCTGCCTCCAGCCCCTTGCTTTAGAAAGCAGGAAGCCCTGTGGTCACAGCTGGCCCTTTGTGGGGCATGAGGGGCTGAGCCCTGCTGTGAGTAATCTCCCTGTACACTGTGAGGACACATTGCTCTCACTGATAAAGAAAGCTGATTGGCTGGCAGCTAGGGCAGAAAGAATGCTGGGAAGTAAGGCAGGGTCTCCAGAGTTGTGAGCCAGATGGGAAGCAGGGAAGCAGCAGCAGGGGCAGTTCACTGACGAGGTGATGAGCCCGGGGCAGCACAGGGAGGGAGGCATAGGAATGGGCTCATCTAAGCTGTAGGAGCTGAAGACAAGCCTCGGTGTTGGCTGAGCATTTATAATAATGACGAGTCTCCGCCTGGTTGGTGGGATAGGAAACTCTGCCCCCAGAGCCTTCCCCGACTCTAAGCTCCCTGTGCTGTCAGGTTTTCTTCATTCTATGTCTAACTCCTTGGGATCCTCCAGCGTTTTCTTCTGACGCATCTGCACACAGCTGCCTCCTCCTGTCCCCTCTGATTCTTGACTATGCCTCCACTGTCTTCATCCCATGAGTCAACACTTCCCTAGCTGGGAGTGTGAGTTGTCTGTAGTGAGAGGGCACTTAGGAAGGTTCACAGAGGGCACAAGAATGGGGCTGGACAGCAGAGGCCCACACGTGCACTCGGACACCAGCAGCTACGTGACCTCTGTGTCCTGGCTCTAACTGGATCCCTGGTGAGACATGATGGGGTCACATTATAACAATGATTTCCAAACTGGGTGCCTTGGGGTTGCCAAGTAGGCCAGAGAAGAAACTGCTGATGAAGAGGGGGGATTAAAAACACCACCACCACCAAAAACAAAAAAAGCTCAAAACCAAAATAACAGATTTTGTCGATTGTTTAAGAGCTAGGGTATTCTATGTAGCTCAGGTTAACCTCCTACCTCCGTCTCCCAAGCTGACTAAAAGTTTCCATTCAAATTTTAACTAGTACAGTTCTAAACAAGGTTTCACCTTGAGGGAAAAAATTAGGTATGCTGGGAAATCACTGGACTAAGGATGTCCCGGGCCTTCCCAGATCTGAACTGCAGCAGACTGCGGTGTGTGGATGGGAAGGCCCCACAGGCTCATCTGAATGCTTAGTCACCAGGGAGTGAACATGACTGGAAGGCTTAAGTGATCGGCCTTGGAGGAAGCGCGTCACTGGGGGTGAACTCTGAGGGATCAAAAGCCCACGCCAGGCATGGGTTCTCTCACAGCCTGTGGATCAGGATGTAGCTCCCAGCTATTGCTGCAGCACCTGCCTGCACACTGCCAGGCTTCCTGCCATGACGACAATGGACCAAACCTCTGAAACTATAAGCCAGTCCCTAAGTAAAAGCTCTCTTTCCTAAGAGATGCCTTAGTCATAGTGGTTTGGTTTTTCCATCACAATATAACACTGACTACAACACTGACTCTCCCAGATAAGGAAAAAAGCAAACAATAACCCACACAATGTTTGTGGTCGAAGACCTAAGAACTTTTCTGTATTTTCAAAACTGTGCTATTATTGTTGCTTTGCATGTGTCTCACTGTGCATGAGTGGTGTACATGTGACCTCAGAGGACAGCTCTAGAAGACTGCGCTCTCCTTCTCCCTTTGCATGGGCTCCAGGAACCAAGCTAGGGGAATGGCCTTGTGTAATGGGTACCTTTAACTGCTGAGCATCTTGTCAGCTTTCAGAACTTAACTGGAAGCCAGGAGGTAGTAGTGCATGCTGTTAAACCCAGGATGCAGGAGGCAGAGGTAGGTAGATCTCTATGAGTTCAGGGCCAGCCTGGTCTACAAGCCTGGTCTACAAAGGGAGTTCCAGGATAGGCTCCAAAGCTACACAGAGAAATCCTGTTTCAAAAATAAACAAACAAACAAAATCTAACTTTTAGAAATTACCTGAAAGAGGAGCTGGCTGGATGAGTCGTGGGTAGTCAGTGGCAGTCCTCTGTTTTTTTCTGAGGACTAGAGTTCATTTCCCAGCACCTACATTGGGGGACTAAGAACTGCCTGCAACTCCAGCTCCAGGGGATTCAGCGCCCTCCTACCTCCATGGGCACTTGCGCGCGCGCACGCACACACACACACACACACACACACACACACACACACAGAAAAATCCTAATAGAAAATTACCTGGAAGAACACAAAACCATGAAGTTCCACTGTCGAACCAGATGTCCAAAATATCCTGCCCCGGCACGTATTCCAAAGCATCGGGACCGCCAGCCTATGGAGACAGCAGAGGAAGACTCAACCTACAGAGGCCACACCGTCACAGGAAATCTCCATGGAACCGAGTGATCCCTGGAAACCATGCAAGGCAAAGGCGAGCTCTCCAGAGCTGCCCTGAGGTCACACGCACAGCGTTTTAAGAAAGTGAAACACAACCAATCAAATTCACAGCTTTAAAATGCACTTCACAGCTGCATACAACCCCTGCTGCAGTATGGAAAGTGAGTGGCCACGTGATGACACTGCTACGGAGCAACAATCACTTCTTCATCTCCCGGTTAACTCCCAGGATGCTCTCTGACAGAAGACAGACGCCATAGGGTGTATACACTGTGGCCGAGCTTACACAGCCCTGCTGCTCCAACAGGAGGGACTTCCTCCGTGGTAGCATCTGTTTAGTCACCCAAAGACAGGCAGGACAACCAGGGCCCCAGGGAGGTTACAAATACCCCAAGTTCATTCCACCGCTGTGCTACAAACTATGCTTCGACTGCAAGGAAAACTGCTCACTTCTAATCTGCATCCGCCTCTGCCTCTAATTCTGAAAAGCAAACTCAGGTTTTCCAACACGGTCACTTAAAATCCCTTTTACCTCCAAGAGTCACTCACATTTTCACTACGGGCAATTTACCTGCGCTACAACATCCTCTGGGAGAAGCTGCTCAGGGCGGAGGGTCCACCAGACATCGCTGCCATGCTGCTCCACTAGCTTAGTAAGGTGCTCGATGGTTTTGCTGTTGGGGAAAGAGGTGAAATCAGCAACCTGTTATCATGATGAATGACAACCGCTTGTCACTTATTGGTCCTCTAATTCAGTAGAATCTTAAATCGCTTGCTCAGTACAAATAAAATCATCTTGGTCATACACATCCCTAACCAGGAAGACAAATGTCTCCTCGCCTGCCTCCCTATTTCAGTCCATCTATTTCCTACCCAAGAACCTGTGCCCTCACTTCCTGACAAACGAAGCTGGCACACCAAGTCAGTTTCATTTGGCTCTGCCTAGTCTTACTGCACTAGTCATGCCATGCCAGGATCCCCCTGGCTCACAGAGAAGCACTCCTCCAACTGCTGGCACACAAAACCCCTACTCAGAAACTGTCAAGAGTCCCTCTGCCCATGTTAGTCCATGACCCACAGGGGCTCACAGTCCAACTCCCTTGCTCATATGGCCAAGACTTGAGAAACTACCCATCTGATTTGCCCAAACACAACTGAGCAGCTCCAGGTGCGAGAGATGCTACAAGAGGTGACAAAACAGACAGGACTTCCCCTAGTGGAAGGAGACGCTTTATTATTGGGTAAAGCCCCATATGCTCCAGCACTGAGCTACCACCACCCAGCCTTGTTTGAGTCTGTCCAGCTTTGTAGCTGAGGCAGGCCTGGAGCTCACTGTCCTCCTGTCCCAACCCCAGGGCTGGCTTCACTGTGATACTTCTTCCCACTGACACCAGGGTCTCTTGGAGCTGCTTTGTTTACACACAACATGCAGCAGTATGGACCCCACAGCTTTGGGGACAGAGAGGGGTGACTTAATTACTAACTCACCAAGCGACACTGGGTGAGGCACTGGGCTCTCCTCTCCAACTTCAGTGTTCTCATTTGTGAAATACAAATAATGGCCCATCACAGAGAGACTTAATACTGACCTAATAAGTGAACCGTCTACAACATTTGTCTTTTTAACATATATTTAATATGCGTGTAAGAATTCAGGCTGACTCTGAGGCAAATTTGAAGAGTTAATTATCAAGTCACTTCCTATGTTAGGAGCTAAGATTTATTCTTATTTGTATTCATGTGTTCATCTGTGTAGATGCTCTTAGAAGCCAGCAGGCACTGATACCCCATGAGCTGGAGTCAGGCTGTGGAAAGCCACCTGATGTGGGCACTGAGATCACACCCTGACCCTCTGGAGGAGTGGCAAGCACTCTTAACCACGAGCTATCTCTCCAGCTTTGTCCTTATGTAAAGATTAAAATACACACAGTACTATAATTTGAAGCCCCCCTCCCCCAACCACACTCCACTGGTGCAACTGACTGGGTCCACCACAGTTACTGGAATGGACAGAGAGTGAGCAGGGACACAGTTACTGGGAATGGACAGAGTGAAGGGACACAGTTACTGGAATGGACAGAGAGTGAGCAGGGACACAGTTACTGGGAATGGACAGAGTGAGCAGGGACACAGTTACTGGGAATGGACAGAGTGAAGGGACACAGTTACTGGGAATGGACAGAGTGAACAGGGACACAGTTACTGGGAATGGACAGAGTGTGAGCGGGGACACAGTTACTGGGAATGGACAGAGTGAAGGGACACAGTTACTGGGAATGGACAGAGTGAACAGGGACACAGTTACTGGGAATGGACAGAGTGTGAGCAGGGACACAGTTACTGGGAATGGACAGAGTGAAGGGACACAGTTACTGGGAATGGACAGAGTGAACAGGGACACAGTTACTGGGAATGGACAGAGAGTGAGCAGGGACACAGTTACTGGGAATGGACAGAGTGAAGGGAAAGCACTGAGTTCCAAATGTGCACCAGCATGTTATTAACTGTGCAGACAGAGCAAATGCCCAGATTCTCCATCTGCTAAGTCACAGGTTAATGTACCCTTTGCACAAACTGTGAAGGAAGCAGAGCCAAGTAGGTAACGTCAATTGACACACTCTTAACCTGAGACTAGAGACACCTCACAGAAGACTACGTGGGAACTAAGAGACAGCTCAGGGGTTAAGAGCGCTTGTGCTCTTGCGGAGGACCTGGGCTCAGAGCCTAACCACAAGGTACTTCACGACCACTGGACTCCCAGTTTTAGGACAGACAGACAGACAGACAGACACACACACACACACACACACACACACGCACGCACGCACAAGATCTTAAAAGGGAGAAAGATGCCAAGCACAGTGGCCCCTAGCTGTAATTCCAGAACTGAGGAGGCAGAGAGAAGTAGACCTCTGTGAGTTCAAGGGTAGCTTAGTCTACAGAGTGAGTCTATCTCAAAAACAAAAGATAATTAAGGTGATATTTTATGAAAGACTGAAAATATAATGCTACCAAAATGTCTAAGAATTTACATATAATATGAATATAAAAACCTAAAATTGGCACAAAACCGGATTGCTGGGACAGACGTTCACTTTGGATGGATGGACTTTAACAGTGAAGATAAGCTTTCCCTATGACACTATAAAAACTTGATGCGATAACTAGTTATAAGACAATAATACTTAGTTATATATTAGTCTTTTATATAGTTTACATAGAACACTTTATCAGTTAACAAAGTATGAACACACGGTCATAGAAAAATCTGAATAACTTAATGCTCCAAAGAACACAGAATACTAGCAAAGCACATTCAAATATGTACATACTTATAGTGGGCATGCTGTTCATTCCAATTATGCATTTTTCCCTTAAAAAAGAAAGAGTCGAGAGATGAGTCTCATTTGCGCTTTTCATGTTACCATTAGACTGCTAAGTTTAGGAAAGCAATGAAGACTGTTAACTACGTCTGCAATAAACATAAAAAGCAATATAGAAGGGAAAGGAAACTGTTCACAGTTCATACTAACTTAACAAATCAGGCAGGACCAATACCATCCAATGAATGCCATGGGGTCTGTCTTTCCTACACGCTCACGTCCTGCAAATGAGAGCTCTTGAGAGCTGACTGCTCTGGGTCTTGATCTCATAAACCCCTAAGTAAGTGACTAAACAGCTGGAGCCAGGCCTTGGAAGTATGTTGTCTAACAGGCTCAGGCTGTTACCGCTCCTTTGTCCCACACCCTGTCACACAAGCCCCTGGCTGAACTCACACCCTGTTCTCTAGAGCAGCTAAGCAGTGACAAAGGGCTCGGACTGCCCAGGCAGAGGAGGCTTCGAACGGAGGTCGAAGGCAGCCTGGGAGGAGGGAGTCTCCAGAGATTAGTGTATTGACAGAGCAGGCAGAGTCCAAAGACCACGCTCTATCTGCCTTGTTGGCTAATAGCAAGAGTAAAATATGGCGTTTTCCTGAGCTTCAGTTTCTATGAAAAGCTGTAAGAAGATTATGATTTATTTATTTAAAAAGAAAGTCTTACTAAAGTAAAGTGAGTAGATCACATGACATATCTCACATCCACTTTATAACAACAAATCCAACCGCAATGGACTGTTTAAATAGCAGATACTCAACAATACTTTAAAACTGTAGTTTAGGGCTGGAGAGATGGCTCAGAGGTTAAGAGCACTGACTGCTCTTCCAGAGGTCCTGAGTTCAATTCCCAGCAACCACATGGTGGCTGACAACCATCTACAATTCAATCTGGTGTATATGTAATAAATAAATAAATCTTTTAAAAAAACTGTAGTTTAAGTGTTTATTTAGTTACACTAAGTACTTTGCTGAGTCTATAAACAAAAACGGATGTTAAATCTGCTATCTGTATCTTATTAAATCAACCATAAATCCTAAGTTCAAACACCTTACACACCAAAATGAAGTTCCTTTAACTGAAACATTTCCTCATAAAAATATTGAAAATTCACTTACATATGTAACCAGGTTTTAAGAGAAGAAGAAATACAATCTTGCTTTATTTAGTTTTTGTCCAGTGCACCCTATCTCCTTCCTTATTTGCACTGTCACCATATAGATTAGGCTGGTCTCACAATCCTCCAGCCTCAGCCGCCTGAATAATAAGCACTTGTGCATTTTACGCACAGTTCATTTGAAGAGCATGAAACCCTTATTTTAGACTTTCAAGGTCTGGTGTCCAGTGAGAAAGGGTGCTTGCTTAGTTTTATTTTTCTGTTTTCTTTAGTAATATTTTACAAATGGCACAACAACAAATGTAATGTTGATCAATGAAGAAAATCTAGCTTCAAGCATGGCCCGGTGGTATGCACCTGTCACTTCAACACCTCAAGAGGATATAGCAGGAGAATCAAGTTCAAGGTCAACATGAGCTCCAAGGACTAACCAAGTAGCAAGCACACAAAACAGAAAAGGTAGGTGTGTAGGTCAGTGGAAGAACACTGGCCTAGCATGAGCATGGCCTAGGACCACAAATACACACATGCATATATTATGCATACATACACACACATACTTCTTCCCAAAAAATTGCCAAATTAATCTATGTAAGTCCAAGGAAAGAGCCTAGTTTTGTTCTTTATCCCAGGTTCTAAGGAACCTGAAACAAAGAAAACTGTTCTCAATGCAGCCAAAGGTGCTATACTGGCTGAGAAGGCAGGCTTCCCTGAAGGTGTGCTCCCCCAGAGAGGAGAGGGTATGCTACCCCAGAGAGGAGAGGGTGCGCTACCCCAGAGAGGAGAGGGTGTGCTCCCCAGAGAGGAGAGGTGCGCTCCCCCAGAGAGGGTGTGCTCCCCCAGAGAGGAGAGGGTGCGCTCCCCCAGAGAGGAGAGGGTGCGCTCCCCCAGAGAGGGTGTGCTCCCGGCTTCACACCATGTGCTAAAGAGCACTTACACCTTGCTAAGCCTCCTGCTCTAAATTCAGGACTGCCCTGAGATTCTGGACAAACAAATGACTTAAATTTTAAAACAAAATAAAATCAACTCTAGAATTAACATAATAAAGGAAACCAAACAAGTATATATTAATACAACATACCTATGTATTTTGAGAGTCCATGTTATATATATACCAGTGTATATAATTTTGTCAGTTAAAAAAGTTAATTGAATTTTTTGTTTTGTTTTGTTTTTTTCGAGACAGGGTTTCTCTGTATTGTTTTGGAGGCTGTCCTGGAACTCACTCCGTAGACCAGCCTGGCCTCGCACTCACAGAGATCCGCCTGCCTCTGCCTCCCGAGTGCTGGGATTAAAGGCGTGTGCCACCAATGCCCGGCAGTTAA